GAGGAGTGGAAATTATATAATTGGAATGCTTAGAAGAAATAATGACAAAATTGGTTTATCATAATCATAATAATAAAAAAGAAGCAGTGTGAAAAATTGAAATCGTACCTCCAAGAAAAGCAAAGTTGAGAAGGCAGGGGAATCATGATGAGGATCAAATAGTACAAAAGAAAGACATGATTCTTAACCGTGAACCTGGAACAAAAAGGAAACACAGGAGCCCGTTTGGTAGGCATTAGGTTTGGTTAATCAGATAGATTTTATACGAAACACTCACTATTGCAGCACAGAAGTTAATATGTTGGCTGAAATGAATGTAATTGACACTTCTAACTTTGATCTTAAAGACTATGTAGTACTTTCTTTAGCCTATTTAGTTATACTTTCACGTAGTTTTGGATAGGTTAACAAATTCACAAGATTCAACTGTTTGAACTCACACCAAATAGGCTCTATGATTCATAACATTAAGTTAAACTTAAGCACCTAGTATATAACTGGTTCTAGCCATATTCCTTACTTGAAATTGTCCAAAGTCACGAGAACTTGTATAGCTAAAACATAGAAGAATATGGTTTCCAGAGAAGTTTTTATGATTGTCTAGTTATGTAATTTTCCATGTCTTGTGAAATCATTACTTAAAATAAATAATGTTCTTCTGGGCTTATTTGTCATGTAGGACTGTCCAGGTTTCAAGCTCAAGGAAAAATAACTTTCTTAACAGATTTCATCAATATAGATCGAACAAGGTTCAACGATTACAATACTAAATCTGCAACTCATATGATTATCCTAATCTGGAAAGATTTTGTTGTTTGTTTTCATTTATTTACTAGTATAGTACCCGTGCATACGCACGGGAAAGAGCGGTTCGTGGATATATTTGTACTCATGATCTAATTACATATTAATATATAAATATTTCCCGCTTAATAATTAGCAAGATTATTTTCTTAAATCTAAAAGCACTACATATGAGAGAGAAGATTCCCCCGCTTAATTGTTAGCTGACTTATCTTCTTATACCTAAAAGCAGTACATATGAGAGAGAAAATTCTCTTTCTCAATTGTTTGCTGGATTATCATGCGTAAAAGAACTACATATTAGAAAGAAAGTTTTTTATCTCAATTGTTAGCAAGCTTATCTTCTTATCTTCATATGTCTAAAATCACTACATATGAGAGAGAAAATTATCTTGTTCAACTTCCCCGCTCAATTGTTAGCAAACCTATATTGTAATATGTAGAAGCGCTATATGTGAGAGAGAGAATTCTTCTCCTCAATTATTAGGAAGCTTATTTTCTGTTACTCGGGACCACTATATATGAGAGATAAAATTCTCACGCTCAATTGTTAGCCGGCTTATCTTATAACTAAAAGCACTACATATGAGAGACAAAATTATTCCGCTCAATTGTTAGCCAGATTATCTTATACTTAAAAGAAATACATATGAGAGAGAGAGTTTTCCTATTCAATTACTCCGTATTAGCAAACTTATCAGCTAACACCTAAAAGCATTACATATGAGAGAGAATTTTTTTCCGCTCATTTAGTCCGCTCAATGCCTCAATTGTTAGCAATTTTATCTTCTGATACGTTGAAGTACTACTACATGTGAGAGAGAAAATTATTCCGCTCAATTATTAGCAAACTTATTTTCTTATACATAAAAGTATAAAACCACTACATAAGAGAGATAAAATTTGTTCACTCGTTAGTCGGTTTATCTTCTTATACTTAAAAGAACTACATATGAGAGGGATAGTTTTCCCGCTCAATTATCAGCAAATTTATTCTCTAATCCCTTAAAGCACTATATATGAGAGAGAAAATTTCCCTACTTAATTTGTCCGCTCAATTGTTAGCAAGTTATCTTCTAATACGTTGAATCACTACATGAGAGAGAAAATTCTCCCGCTCAATTATTAGCAAGCTTATTTTCTTATACATAAAACCACTACATAAGAGTTTCGCTCAATTGTTAGCCGGCTTATCTTATTTCTAAAAGCACAACATATGAGTGACAAAATTCGTCTGCTCAATTTTTACCCGGCTTATCTTACCTTATACTCCGTACTTAAAATAACTATATATGAGAGAGAGAGAGAGAGAGAGTTTTCCCACTCAATTATTAGCAAACTTATCTTCTATCTTCTTCTCATACCTAAAAGCATTTCATAAAGAGAAAATCTTCCCGCTCAGTTTCTCTGCTCAATTGTTATCAAAATTATCTTCTAATACCTAGAAACACTACATATTAAAGAGAAAATTCTTCCGCTCAACTATTAACATGTTTATCTTCTTATACCTAAAACCACTTTATTTGGGAGATAAAATTCACCCAATCAATTGTTAGTGGGATTATCTTGTAACTAAAAGTACTACATAATTTTAAATGAAAAATGAGCAAATAAGCATTTTTGAATTATATAAGGGCTAGTTTTTTATAGTCACAAAATGTTAGCAAACTTATCTTTTAATAATACCGAAAAGCACTAATATGAAAAAGAAATTTCTGTTTTATTTGTAGCTTTTGTTTTTAATTTGAGACGAAGCAAGCTGGCTAATTTGGCCGATAATAGCTTTGAATCTCTCGCATAGTCACTGATTAGTCTTGCTCATTATTGGGCAGTCTATTTTATGCCTGATCAGATAGTGAGGTGGCCTATTGGCTATAAGGAGTCTAGAGGAAATGTTTGGGTAGCCAAAATGTAGGATGTTTGGTTGTTTGATTTTTGAATTTAATATAAGCATTTTCTAGCAAAAAATATATTTTAGTTTTATAATCCGTATCAAAGTAATTATAAGGAAGAACCTCTCCAATATATAGATATTTGTAAACAAAAAACTGATTAAATTGTCAATGAACTTTATAGTGACTTTGATATAATTTTAAACATAACTATATTATAGTAACTAAAAGTTAATAAGTTATACTTTTAATCAATATTCTTATTTTAGTCATATATTGGGAATTATTTCTTTAATTAATAGGAATAGCCCGTATCGAGGTTGAAAATTAACAGGTTACTTAATACACTTCCAGTTTTTTTTTTAATTTTCTATATGCAATATTGTTCTCATATGAATTTTGTTTTTAACTTTTGAATGACTTTATATTTCTCACTGCTCAAGTCTCGTATGACTCTCATTTGAGCAACTTCATCACACCATGTGACAATTTGTAATTGATCTAGTTTACATTGACAAAAATATCATATGTTGAACATCTTTTTCATTTAGAATGCTATTTAGAGTCTGTTTGGTAACACATAAAATGGACGAATCTATTGAAATTGATGAAATTCTTGCTGAAACCGCTGAACTCGCTAATATACTGAATTATGGAAAAATGAAATTTAATTATATTCTATTTATAAAGTAAATAAACATTTATCTGAAAATGTAGCTAAAATTTCCCCGCTCAATTGTTAGCACTCTAATCTTCTAATACCTAGCAACGCTACATATTAGAGAGAAACTTCTTCCGCTCAATTATTAATAGGATTATCTTCTTATACCTAAAACTACTATATATGGGAGATAAAATTCTCCCGATCAATTGTTAGTTGGCTTATTTTGTAACTAAAAGTACTACATAATTTTAAATGAAAAATGAGCATATAAGCATTTTTGTATTATATAAGGGCTAGTTTTGTTTTATAGTCACTAAATGTCAGTAAATCATATTTTTATCCATTGTCCTTTTTTTTCAAAATCTATTTTTATTCAAAGTGTTATGACCTTTTCATTTTAACTCTAACTTTAACAAATTATATTAAAATTCATAGTTCTTGTGATATTTCATATGACAGTAATATTGGAGTTTTTTTGAAGATTTATTAAACAACTTCCTATTTTTTCAACAATGATATCAATCATCTCGTATAAAGTATAGAAATAATCTATAACTATGATCCGAATAAGTATAGTAGATAAAATGTGACGTATTCACTTTTAATGATTATAATTATGTTTTAGCTTTGTATCAAACTAACTCTAAGGAAGAACCTCTGCAATAGATATTTGTGAATATAAAACTGTTTATATTGGTTATAAGTACACTACCATAGTCACTTTGATATAATTTTAAACATAATTATAAATAGGTTACTTAATAAACCTTTGGATTTTTTTTAAAGTTTTTTATGCAATATTAGTCTCATATGAAAGATAAAAAAATTATGAATTTTGATATATGTTTTGTAAAAATTAGTGCAAAAACGTAAAAGTTTTAACACTTTAAAGAAAATGAGTTGTTTTATATGGTGGGCCTGCCAATTCTTATTATATTTAATCCAATACATAAATCAATATTTTCAGTTAGTGAACCTGGAACAAAAAGGAAACACAGGAGCCCGTTTGGTAGGCATTAGGTTTGGTTAATCAGATAGATTTTATGTAACACCGTCCCCAAATGTATTTACTTTTATGTGAATATTATATTTTAACCTTATGGAATGGTTAAAGAAATTATGATGTTACGAATTTTTTTTTATTAATTCTTTCGCACGAATAGTAAATTCGCACGTGAGGCCCGCCCGGAAGCGGGGGCCGCCCGATATTCCCGGGACCACATAAATTATTCATCTTAGTCTAGATAATAATTATATGGTGGTGGATAATTCATTTGAACCATGGAAAGGTCCAGAGTTGACCGATTGGTCAAGAGAGGCCCAAATACCGGTATTGACGATTTTACCGATAAATGTCCGAAATTGAATTTCGGGGACTTATAAATTAAAGTTGGGGAATGAATATTCATTTAAGGTTCATGTTGGTTAAAGAGCATGTAAAATATTTTATTTGACCCGATAAAATAAAATATAACAAAAACTGTCCGAAAAATACAACTTTCGGGACCGATTGTACACTTCGGGACAAAAGGGGTTGACCTCCCACATGAGTGGGGGCCAACCCACGATTTTGGCCACAAAATGGAGGCTGATTTGTCTCAAACAAGGTCTGAAAACCTTGAGATGATGGGGGAGACCATTTTGACATCCTAAGGACCCCATCCTCACTCATTTGGCAAGAAAGCCAAAAAGAAAATCTCACCCCTCTCTCTCTCACCCCCCATCTCGGCCAGCACCCAAGAAAGAAGCAAGAGTAATTTTCCATCCTCCATTCTCCATCTTTGAAGAGAGCTCAAGCTTAAGGAGTCCAAAAGGAGGTCTTTGAGAAGGAAAAAGTGAGGAGAAAGTGAGAAGGGTTAAGGTAAAGACCTTATATTAACTTTTCCTTTATTTTTCTTCTATCATATGAGATATATATCATATGAAGACCCTTGAGAATGGTTCTACATGATTAAGTGTAGAATGATGGGTTGGAAAGTGGTTCTAGGTCCAAGAACGGATTTAGAAGTCAAAACGACCGGTTTACCGGAAAATAACCTTTAGAGGTTATTTGTATTGATTAAGGTTTTATGATGTTAAAACCTTGTTAGGGACTTGACTTAAGCATTTTTGAACCTCGCCGGAGTTTTGCCGGAGTTGGTCAAAGTACGCCGGAGTTGGTCAAAGCTCGCCGGAATTAGTCAAAGTTCAAATCGGGGAACGTAAAACGCGCTTAAGCTCACTTAAGGTGAGGATGACCGACTATATTGCTTATAATTATTGGGTTAATTTCATAAGATTATCTAAATGAATTATATGTGTTTGGCATGATGTATTTATAATAATAAAATGCCTAAATGAGATTTTTATTGTTCATAAGCAAAAAATGCATAATATACAAATTTATGAATAAATTGTGTATGATTATGTGTTATGAATACAATGGTATAATAGTTGTGTAAACTATAAACTAAATTGTGATAAATATACTTTTACCTCATATGAGGAAGTCATGGAAGGATAAAAGTGATATTTTGATATTAGAGCCAAGTTATACTTGAATGTGGAATTTAATTGAGATATTCAAATTATTATGAACTTAAGTTACATTTGGAGTAGGCCTTAAGGGTTACTCAAAATGGATGGAACCTAGACTAAGAAGTGGTTTAGGGATTAGTTGACGTGACTATGAGCCGAGCTCTAGCACGTGGTAGCATGACTATGAGCCGAGCTCTAGCAAACGTAGGGTGACTATGAGCCGAGCTCTAGCACAAATTAGTATGACTATGAGCCGAGCTCTAGCAAACGTAGGGTGACTATGAGCCGAGCTCTAGCACAATTTTAGTATGACTATGAGCCGAGCTCTAGCGAATGTAGTGTGACTATGAGCCGAGCTCTAGCACAATTTAGCATGACTATGAGCCGAGCTCTAGCATGAAGGAACATGAGTTAAGTACAAATGAATAACATCTTGGATTGAGGGTCTTGGAAATTGAAACTTTGATTATACTTAGTATAGTTGTCATTGTACTTGTCAAATGCTTCCAAGTACTGACCTCCCCTTCACGGGGGAGGCCACCTCACAGTTTCAGGTAGGGAGTAGAGCTTGCTACTACCGCTCGTTGCTTCGGGGAATTCAAGGAGGAAGGCGGGGTTCGTACTTCTCCTGTTTCTGTTTTGAAAACAATTTAAATAATGCTCATGGATATTATTTCGAATATTTATTTGGGGGCTTGTATGCCCGTGGTTGCCACGTGTGGCTTGAATATTTGTAATTATGTTTCCGCTGCTTAATTAAATATTTTACGTTATGATTGTTTATGGATGTACTATGTGTGAATGGTATTCAAGACGCCTAGTATAGTATGGATGAGTTGGACTGCGGTTGACTATTCGTACTGTACGGCGGGTTGTTGACGTGTCCGGTAGGTCCGGGGCGTGACAATTTAATTGGTATCAGAGCCTTAGTCCGTAAACTTCATAATGAAGCTTCAAAATCTCTTTTTGAAAAACGAATTTGAAACCCATGAGCATAAAGTTTTGTACTTATAGAACTTTTGGTACTTGAGTTGCAAGGTCTCTAATTGTTAAGATGGTACCCTTAACAATTGGTATGACGGTGATTTGAGCCAAAAGATGTCTTTAAGTACCTATCCGTCACTTGACATTTGATACGAGTCTAATGGCTCATTCTAAACTTCTTTCAGAAATGGAACGTACCGGTAGAATTACTCGACGGAACCCGACTGGCCAGGCACTGGGAGGATCCCAACGTGGCAGTCGGGGGGGATCAAGAGAGTCTAGGGGACAGGGCCGTGCAGGCCATTCGCTGATCGTGAGTGACGGTCACGTGGAAACAATAGATGAACACTATGAGTCCGAGGAGGATTCAACTTACCAACCGGGAACTGAGCCGGTTGAGACCCCATATGATGGGGAACACGACGATGCTAGTGATAAGAGTGATGATAATAACGCTCTTGAACGGATTGAGGAATTGCTCCGGCAATACCAACAAGATCGCCAAAGGCGCCGGGCAAGGCGTGCTTTGGAAGGGGCTTCGAGGAGAGGAAGCCGCGCGACTCCTAGGGAGAGCATTGAACTCCGAGGAGGTCGAGGTGCTGAGGTTCCTATCATAAGAATCTCAAAGTACCTAAAGGAGGCGAGAGACTTGGGATGTAAACCGTTTGATGGAACGGGAGACATCTCCGTGGCGGCCGAGTGGATCAAGAGATTCAATGAAGCGGCCCTTGACATGCAACTGCCACCCCACATGAAGATGAGAGTGGCAACAAGATTGCTAGAAGGCATGGCGTCCACGTGGTGGGACGGAGTCAAAGGGAAGTACGGCGAGGCCGTCACTTGGGAGAACTTTAGGCAAGAATTCTTTAGCCAATACTACTCCGACTTCGAGGTGAACTTGAAGAGGAGGGAGTACACGAATTTGACCCAAGGAGGGGAATGCACGGTGAAGGAACTTGAGCACAAGTTCAGGAAACTTGCTGAGTTCATACCGGAGTACATTTGTGACGAAAACCGGATGGTGAACCATTTCTGGGATGCCTTAGACCTTGACATACGCGAGAGGGCAACACAGTTGCCTAATATGACGTTTAGTCAAGTGGTTGAACAAGGCTTGAAGGGAGAAAAAGAGTGGGAGGAAAGAAAGCGAAGGAACGCCGAAGAGGCGAAGAAGAGGAAATGGGAGAACCATGGCCCCCAAGGTTCTAACAAAAAGGGGAACCACGGGGGAGGGGGATCGTTCAGAGCGCCGGCACCGCCATCCAAGGGAAACTCGGCCTTCGGCGGGCACAACTCGGGCTCACAAGCCTCAACGGCGCCCAGGTGCAGAAATTGCAACCGGAGCCACGCCGGTAAGTGTCGTGATCCACCACGGTGTTACCAATGTGGGGACACGGGGCATATTAAGCCAAATTGCCCTCAACTTGGTAGGAACCGAGGAGCAGGATCAAGCGGCGCTACTACGGCAAGTAGGAGCCGAACCGGAGCACCTCATGCTAGTACGGGCCAAGGGGGAGCAAGCACGAGCAATGCGCCGTCCGTTAACCAAGGAAGGACCCAAGCAAGGGTCTACGCAATGACGGAGGCGGATGCCCGAGCTAACCCAGATTCGGTTGCAGGTATGACCGCTTAACTTCCCGTATTTTACCCATTCCTCATCCATAAATTGAAGTTATAAATCCTAGAATCCAGGCGGGAGCGGACGTAAGATTGAAATGGGAAAGGAGAGCAAAACCATGCTACTACCCGACCGGGTAGGGCAATAAACCCGACCGGGTAGGACAAGTTTTTGCCCTCGTAAACCTTCTGGATCGCATACCCGATCGGGTTTGGTAATGAACCCGACCGGGTAGGACGAGTTTTTGCACTCATAAGTCCACTGGAACACATACCCGACCGGGTATGGTGGTATACCCGACCGGGTTTGTCAAAAATTTCTTCCCGACACCCACTGGAACACATACCCGACCGGGTATGGTGGTATACCCGACCGGGTTTGTCAAAAATTTCTTCCCGACACCCACTGGAACACATACCCGACCGGGTATGGTGTTATACCCGACCGGGTTTGTCAAAAAAATGCTGCCCGAACCCACTGGAACCTATACCCGACCGGGTATAGTATGTTACCCGACCGGGTACACCTCGAAGTGTTCGTCAAATGAAAAAGTTGTCTTCATGAAAGTTGTAGATATTTTCATTGTCTAAATGATGGAATTTGAATCGAACGATTTGGTTAAGTATGTGAAGAGATATGATCAAAACGGTGAGACAGTGTCAATTTATATCTCAACTGCGAACGTTAACCATAATTGGGGGACTTTGCCCACTTTAAGGACATAATTTCGCATTATGTTCTTCGTAGGATTGGTCGGTATGTTAGAGAGGTATCTTACATGGCTTATAAATGTAGGAACACTAAAGATTAATGGGAGATGTGCGAGAATCCTCATCGATACCGGGGCGCAACGATCATTTGTGAGTGAGGCATTCGCCGGGGGATTCAACGTACCCCTGGTACCGATGACTCAAGCCCTATTGGTATCCACACCCCTAGGGGAAGACATCGAGAGAGATAGCCACTATCCATCGTGTGAGGTGGAAGTGGAGGGCCAAAACTTGTCGTGTGATTTCGTGCCGCTGAGTATGATTGAGTTCGATGCAATCCTGGGGATGGATTGGCTTGAGAAGCATCATGCTAGGGTCGATTGTTACACGAAAGTACTTGAACTCGAAGGCAATGAAGGGGTGACCCTACGCTTCGAGGGGGATAGGGCAAAATCCAATAGTTGTATCATATCCGCTGTGAGGGCTAAGAATATGATGAGGAAGGGATGTCACGCATATCTAGCGTATGTGGTGGACAAAACCAAAGAAGAGACGAGCATTGATGATGTTAGGGTAGTATGCAAGTATCGGGACGTCTTTCCAAAAGACTTACCGGGACTTCCACCCGATAGGGAGATTGAGTTCGTGATCGAAGTCGAGCCCGGCACCAAACCAATCTCCATACCGCCATACCGTATGGCACCCGCTGAACTTAACGAGTTAAAAACCCAATTGCAAGAGCTTTTGGATAACGGTTTCATTAGACCAAGCCACTCCCCGTGGGGAGCACCAGTCCTTTTTGTGAAAAAGAAGGATGGAACACTTCGAATGTGCATTGACTATCGTCAACTGAACAAGGTCACAATCAAGAATAGGTATCCCTTGCCTAGGATTGATGACTTGTTTGATCAACTACGAGGAGCAACCGTGTTTTCAAAGATTGACTTGAGGTCGGGGTACCATCAATTGAAGATTAAGGAGGATGACATACCGAAGAGTGCTTTCCGCACGAGGTATGGGCATTTTGAGTTCCTTGTTATGTCGTTTGGGTTAACAAACGCCCCGGCGGCATTCATGGACTTGATGAACCGAGTATTTCACAAATACTTGGACCGATTCGTGATTGTGTTCATTGATGACATCTTGATCTACTCAAAGAGTGAGGAAGAGCATAAGGAGCATTTGACACTCGTTCTTGAGACACTACGGGAGAAGCAACTCTATGCTAAATTTTCTAAATGTGAATTTTGGCTTAAGGAGATTGGTTTTCTCGGGCATGTGGTTTCGGGATCGGGAATCGCTGTTGATAACAAGAAGATAGAAGCCATCACCGAATGGGAGAGGCCAAAAAACGTCAAGGAAATTCGTAGTTTCCTTGGATTGGCAGGATACTATAGAAAGTTCGTGGAGAAGTTCTCTGTTTTGGCATCACCGCTGACGAAGCTCACTCGAAAAGGAGCTAAGTTTGTATGGGATGAAAAATGTGAGGAAGGATTCACTGAACTGAAGAAGAAATTGACTGAGGCACCGGTACTTGCATTACCCAAACAGGGTATGGGGTACGATGTCTATAGTGACGCGAGCATCCAAGGGCTTGGATGTGTGTTAATGCAAGAGGGGAGGGTAATCGCCTATGCTTCACGACAGTTGAAGAAGCATGAGGTAAATTATCCTACTCATGATTTAGAGCTCGGGGCAGTGGTGTTCGCACTGAAGATTTGGAGACATTATCTCTACGGAGAGACATGTCACATATACACTGACCATAAGAGCTTGAAGTACGTGTTTACTCAGAAAGAGTTAAACATGAGGCAGAGACGGTGGATGGAGTTGATAAAGGACTACCATCTAGTGATTGAGTACCATCCAGGCAAGGCAAATGTGGTGGCAGATGCTTTGAGCCGGAAGAGCTCATCTGGGGCATTGATAGCTAATTTGAGGGCATTAAGAGCCCAACTGGAGGTGTCCAGTAATGGTGCCTTATTGGCACGGTTTGAGGTGAGACCTACCTTGTTTGATGAGATCAAGAAGGGTCAGGAAACTGACGAGGAAATCATGAAGATCCGGGAACGCATGCAAGCGGGATCGGTGGAGGACTTCAGGGAAAGAGATGACGGTCTTTTATTATTTCGTGACCGAGTGTGTGTGCCGGCAGATGATGAGCTCCGAAAGTCCATCTTAGAGGAAGCTCATTCATCGGCTTATGCCATGCACCCGGGGGGCACGAAGATGTATCGTGATTTGAAGGAAAGTTACTGGTGGTCCGGTATGAAGAGAGAGATAGCCGAGTACATCAGTCGATGCCTTACTTGTCAACAAGTTAAGGCAGAACATCAGCATCCAGCTGGGTTATTACAGCCACTTTCCATTCCAGAATGGAAATGGGAGCATGTGACTATGGATTTCGTGGTGGGGTTGCCGCGGACCGTGAACAACTATGATGCGGTATGGGCAGTAGTTGATAGGCTCACCAAGAGTGCACACTTTTTGCCTATTAACATCACTTACCCTCTTGAAAGATTGGCAAAACTATACACGGAGGAGATTGTGAGGCTACATGGAGTCCCGATATCCATTGTCTCGGATAGGGATCCACGATTCACATCTCGATTTTGGCCCAAGTTTCAAGCATCTTTGGGTACTAAATTGAAGTTCAGCACGGCTTTTCATCCACAGACGGATGGACAATCCGAGCGAGTGATACAGATATTGGAGGACATGCTTAGGGCGTGTGCTCTGGAGTTCCAAGGAAGTTGGGACAAACATTTGGCTCTAGTCGAATTCGCCTATAACAACAGTTATCAGGCGAGTGTCGGCATGCCTCCATACGAGGCATTGTATGGGAGGAAGTGCAGAACACCGTTATGTTGGGACGAGGTTGGCGAGGCCAAGCTCGAGGGGATTGAACTTGTTGAAATCACCAAGGCTAAGGTGAAAGTCATTCAGGATAGACTCAAGGCTGCCCAAGATCGGCAGAAGAGCTATGCCAACAAACGACGAAGGCCATTGGAATTCGAGGTCGGTGATAAGGTCTTCCTAAGGATTTCTCCTTGGAAGGGTATCATCCGATTTATATCGAGGGGAAAGCTTAACCCCCGATACATTGGTCCATTTGAAATCCTTGAAAGGATAGGGGCCGTAGCATACCGACTCAAGTTGACGCCGGAACTTGAGAAGATACACGATGTGTTCCATGTATCGATGCTCAAGAAATACGTGAGAGACCCGTCTCATATTCTTGAGAGGCCACCGGTAGAGATACGCGAAGACCTACAATATGCGGTGGAACCGGTGAAGATTGTGGGACAACAAGTGAAGAAATTGAGAAACAAGGAGATTCCTATGGTGAAAGTCCTTTGGAGGAGTGATCGGGTCGAGGAAGAAACATGGGAGACCGAGGTCTCGATGAGGGAGCAATACCCTTTTCTTTTCGACTAGACACGTGGATTTCGGGGACGAAATCCCAAATAAGGGGGGGTGAACTTGTAACACCGTCCCCAAATGTATTTACTTTTATGTGAATATTATATTTTAACCTTATGGAATGGTTAAAGAAATTATGATGTTACGAATTTTTTTTTATTAATTCTTTCGCACGAATAGTAAATTCGCACGTGAGGCCCGCCCGGAAGCGGGGGCCGCCCGATATTCCCGGGACCACATAAATTATTCATCTTAGTCTAGATAATAATTATATGGTGGTGGATAATTCATTTGAACCATGGAAAGGTCCAGAGTTGACCGATTGGTCAAGAGAGGCCCAAATACCGGTATTGACGATTTTACCGATAAATGTCCGAAATTGAATTTCGGGGACTTATAAATTAAAGTTGGGGAATGAATATTCATTTAAGGTTCATGTTGGTTAAAGAGCATGTAAAATATTTTATTTGACCCGATAAAATAAAATATAACAAAAACTGTCCGAAAAATACAACTTTCGGGACCGATTGTACACTTCGGGACAAAAGGGGTTGACCTCCCACATGAGTGGGGGCCAACCCACGATTTTGGCCACAAAATGGAGGCTGATTTGTCTCAAACAAGGTCTGAAAACCTTGAGATGATGGGGGAGACCATTTTGACATCCTAAGGACCCCATCCTCACTCATTTGGCAAGAAAGCCAAAAAGAAAATCTCACCCCTCTCTCTCTCACCCCCCATCTCGGCCAGCACCCAAGAAAGAAGCAAGAGTAATTTTCCATCCTCCATTCTCCATCTTTGAAGAGAGCTCAAGCTTAAGGAGTCCAAAAGGAGGTCTTTGAGAAGGAAAAAGTGAGGAGAAAGTGAGAAGGGTTAAGGTAAAGACCTTATATTAACTTTTCCTTTATTTTTCTTCTATCATATGAGATATATATCATATGAAGACCCTTGAGAATGGTTCTACATGATTAAGTGTAGAATGATGGGTTGGAAAGTGGTTCTAGGTCCAAGAACGGATTTAGAAGTCAAAACGACCGGTTTACCGGAAAATAACCTTTAGAGGTTATTTGTATTGATTAAGGTTTTATGATGTTAAAACCTTGTTAGGGACTTGACTTAAGCATTTTTGAACCTCGCCGGAGTTTTGCCGGAGTTGGTCAAAGTACGCCGGAGTTGGTCAAAGCTCGCCGGAATTAGTCAAAGTTCAAATCGGGGAACGTAAAACGCGCTTAAGCTCACTTAAGGTGAGGATGACCGACTATATTGCTTATAATTATTGGGTTAATTTCATAAGATTATCTAAATGAATTATATGTGTTTGGCATGATGTATTTATAATAATAAAATGCCTAAATGAGATTTTTATTGTTCATAAGCAAAAAATGCATAATATACAAATTTATGAATAAATTGTGTATGATTATGTGTTATGAATACAATGGTATAATAGTTGTGTAAACTATAAACTAAATTGTGATAAATATACTTTTACCTCATATGAGGAAGTCATGGAAGGATAAAAGTGATATTTTGATATTAGAGCCAAGTTATACTTGAATGTGGAATTTAATTGAGATATTCAAATTATTATGAACTTAAGTTACATTTGGAGTAGGCCTTAAGGGTTACTCAAAATGGATGGAACCTAGACTAAGAAGTGGTTTAGGGATTAGTTGACGTGACTATGAGCCGAGCTCTAGCACGTGGTAGCATGACTATGAGCCGAGCTCTAGCAAACGTAGGGTGACTATGAGCCGAGCTCTAGCACAAATTAGTATGACTATGAGCCGAGCTCTAGCAAACGTAGGGTGACTATGAGCCGAGCTCTAGCACAATTTTAGTATGACTATGAGCCGAGCTCTAGCGAATGTAGTGTGACTATGAGCCGAGCTCTAGCACAATTTAGCATGACTATGAGCCGAGCTCTAGCATGAAGGAACATGAGTTAAGTACAAATGAATAACATCTTGGATTGAGGGTCTTGGAAATTGAAACTTTGATTATACTTAGTATAGTTGTCATTGTACTTGTCAAATGCTTCCAAGTACTGACCTCCCCTTCACGGGGGAGGCCACCTCACAGTTTCAGGTAGGGAGTAGAGCTTGCTACTACCGCTCGTTGCTTCGGGGAATTCAAGGAGGAAGGCGGGGTTCGTACTTCTCCTGTTTCTGTTTTGAAAACAATTTAAATAATGCTCATGGATATTATTTCGAATATTTATTTGGGGGCTTGTATGCCCGTGGTTGCCACGTGTGGCTTGAATATTTGTAATTATGTTTCCGCTGCTTAATTAAATATTTTACGTTATGATTGTTTATGGATGTACTATGTGTGAATGGTATTCAAGACGCCTAGTATAGTATGGATGAGTTGGACTGCGGTTGACTATTCGTACTGTACGGCGGGTTGTTGACGTGTCCGGTAGGTCCGGGGCGTGACATTTTATACGAAACACTCACTATTGCAGCACAGAAGTTAATATGTTGACTGAAATGAATGTAATTGACACTTCTAACTTTGATCTTAAAGACTATGTAGTACTTTCTTTAGCCTATTTAGTTATACTTTCACGTAGTTTTGGATAGGTTAACAAATTCACAAGATTCAACTGTTTGAACTCACACCAAATAGGCTCTATGATTCATAACATTAAGTTAAACTTAAGCACCTAGTATATAACTGGTTCTAGCCATATTCCTTACTTGAAATTGTCCAAAGTCACGAGAACTTGTATAGCTAAAACATAGAAGAATATGGTTTCCAGAGAAGTTTTTATGATTGTCTAGTTATGTAATTTTCCATGTCTTGTGAAATCATTACTTAAAATAAATAATGTTCTTCTGGGCTTATTTGTCATGTAGGACTGTCTAGGTTTCAAGCTCAAGGAAAAATAACTTTCTTAACAGATTTCATCAATATAGATCAAACAAGGTTCAACGATTACAATACTAAATCTGCAACTCATATGATTATCCTAATCTCGAAAGATTTTGTTGTTTGTTTTCATTTATTTATTAGCTGACCCAGGCCCGGTCCTGACATTTTATGGGCCCGGGACAATACAAATAGGTCGGGCCTCAGGGATAGCGCGAGAATGTTTATAATGTTCTTTTTGCTATAAAAATCTACTAGTATAATTTAAAATTATACAATTCAATATTACCGTCAAAATACTAGTATAACACATCAAAAAAACCAACAGAGCATGTGGTTAGAAAATATATATAGAGGGTATTGAATCTATTGATAAGTGACATTCGATGATACAATGTACCTAACAGCCGAGTGAAACAAGTATTGCAACTATATATTAGGCACAATAATAATTTTGAATTAAAGAAAGTTGTGAAAGTTATATCTTGTATAAGGAGTAACTATTTCATATTTTAAATCACATTTTCACTAGACAAAAACCAATTCTGAGTTTCTAAATTATGGACACTAAAGTTCAATCTTTTACTAAAGAGAGCATTGGAGGAAATTCGTGAAATACATCAATGAATTCTGGATATACATAAGACATGTACACTAAGTCACTAAAAGATTAAATTTAATGTAATAATCCGTAATGATTCGAAAGAAATTGTGAAATATGTTCCCAACGAATTCTAATGTAAATGTTTCTAAATTATAGACTTGTATCATGTAGATGGTAAATAACAAATTAGAAGTATCTAAAAATATAAGTTTGATTTTATTTTTTAATTTTTATGGATTTAGGATGTATATATAATTAAAATATTTATGTACACACATATATGTTTGAGAAATTTATGGGCCCTACTGGAGCAAAGGGCCCTGGGCGCATGCCCCTCCTGCCCATGCCCCAGGACCGGCTCTGAGCTGACCCTAAACTTTTGGATTAAGACTTGGATGTTATTGATGTGTTCTTCAATATATAGTCATTCTTTGTCAGCATATTACCTTTCCAGTCATAATTAAATATAGGTTCTTAGTAAAAATCAGTCATAAATCCATTAACTTACTCTGTGAGTTTTGATCAAGATAGATCCCCTGGCTAAAATTTGTAACTGCAATGTTGGCAGCGAGACACCTACGGCGAAAGAAATATGAACCAAAATCACAAACTTGCAATGCCAAACAGCATCTTTAAGGATTGCTCTCGAGGGATCACTCTTCGTTCATCATTGCAATGCAAAAAATAATAATTACTCCTCCAACTCCCCATAAAGAGACCTAGGTTGTGAAAAGTGATGACCCTAATCAGATTCTAGGCTTTACTCATATAATCCACAACAACAATGTACGGAGCAATTTCGGGATATTCCAGAATTCACAATTCACAATTCACAACAACAGCCTGAATTGTAACAAACTAAGAGCCCGTTTGGTAGCACCAAAATCGGCTGTTTTGGCTGATTCTGCTGAAATTTATGATATTCTGGCTGGAGTGGCTGTTTTGGCTGATTCTGCTGATTTAAGAAAAAAATATTTTAAAAATATATTTTATTAATAAATTAAAGAAAAAATTATATGTAAAAATAGCTAAAATGGTCCTCTATAGTAACTTCAGCCAATACAGCCAGAAAAGTAACTCCAACCTTACTTTTTCGGCTTATTACACAATTCAGCGCGCGAAAGTAAAAGTTACGTGTTTGGTGAAAAAGCTGGCTGATAAGCCTGATAAGCCGAAAACAGAGTTCTCCAAACGGGCTCTAAAGAGCTAAAACTGAATGCCAAGAAGTCACAGTATCCACATTAAATAGTATATCACAATTCCTCGAACTAAAGCCCAATTCAGGATTCACAATTACATGAAAATCACAGCACGTAAATTCCAAAAAATATAGGAAGCAATTTATCCGAATTCATAACAGAAACCCTCAAAATTTCCAGAAATAAAGGCATAAAGCTGAAGCAAATAAAATATAACAAACTAAAACTAAATACATACTTGAGAAATGGGAAGACCAGCGACTCAGCGAGCAGGCGAAAATGGAAATAAAACGTATCAGATGAACAGATGGGAGTAGGCAGCGAGCAGGAAGCGGGCTCAAAGGCTTGGAGCGCTGAGAGACGAAGAATATGAATGATGTATTTCTGGCGACAGCGAGAGACGGATCGGATAAACAGATGGGAGGAATGACAGACGGAGAGAAAACGGAAGTTAAATCCTTTAATAGAGTACCTGTGGTAAAACGTATTGTACATATCAATTAAGGCAGAGGATACCACCAACATTTTTTCCTTCCCTTAAATGCCCTAACCTTCATTGGTGTTTATAAAATTTTAGATTTAGATATATTACAGTGGTAACTCGGTAGGGCCAGGTAAAAAATCAAAGGGGCGGAGTAGTGTAATTCACCCCGGTAAAAATCCAAGCTTCGGCTCAAACCTAAAGATTTACTCCGTATTAGCTCTTTCACTTGCTTTGCCGCCTCTGCGCGACTGCATTTCATTCGATTTTGCTTCTGTGATTTCTTTGATTCAATTTCCCATCACAACCAACTGAGCTACCATGCGTGGTATAGTTTATCTGATTTCCGGTTTTAATCGTGAGTTCGTTCGACAGTCAAATTCAGCTACCCCGCGTACAGGCGCGTAGTTTCAGTCCGAGTCATGGTGGTGCCGCTCCAGTTTTTACCGATGATTTATCTTCTCAAATAGCCTGAAATAGTTCATGCTTCTGATCCAATGAACCATAACAACAATATTACCCTCACTAACATTTTTCTAATCTAAAAACCTTATATTTGTGAATAAGGGTTGATACCCCTTATTTATGTCAACACATTGTATGCACAATGAATTGTACATTGCTCTTAAAAAGTGGGACTTAACTTCTCACATGGACCTATATAGCCTTAACTTCGTATCCAAACTTATCTTCCGTTAACTAGCTTCAATTTCAATTTCCTTTAAACTTAATAATTACTCCCTCCGTCCCAGGGAGAAGTTCCCACTTTCCTTTTTTGTTAGTCCCAACAAAAAGTTCCCATTTCCATAAACGGAAAGTTATCCTACATCAAAACAGTGTCAAACAGTGTCAAACAGTGCAAAACAGTACAAAACAGTGTCGAAACAGTGCCAAACAGTGTCGAAACAGTGCCAAACAGTAAAATTTACCCCTCAGTAACTTTATTTCCTAAATATGTGTGAAAGTCAACCCGGGAACTTCTCCCTGGGACGGAGGGAGTATATTCCATATTAGGAAACGGAAATAACTAGTATTCTATTCAAGATTAATTAATTATACTGCGTATTACATAAACATCCACTGTTGCAATGTAATGATTAGAGTAGTCTATTTGTATTCATTTCAAAATTAATTAGTTATATTACATATATATGCTCTATTAAAGTAAACTTTACAGAATACTTCTAATTTTTAAATCTCACACACCTCGTCCTCATTTAAAGAAGTTACGCAATATTACTATCCATTTGTAACATTTTGTCAAATTTCAATTTTTTAAATTTTAAATATTTTATAGCATTTTAAAATTTGCCACGTTTAAGAGTTTTTTAAATCTCAAATTCATCATCTTCCACAAAAAAATCTCAATTCCATCAATGTTGTACGCAAGATATTAATTACTTAAGTATTGGGCATGGACTATCGCGCCTTGCGCGAACAAATGCTAGTATATATGATATATATTATAAATATAATATGAGAGGAGAGTGCTAAACAAAAAAAATGAATATACTACGTATTAAAGTAATTAAAGCAAGAAGTGTTTTTGGGTGAATATGGTATGTCCGGATGGTATACCGTTGCAAAAAAATAATGAATATATTACTTTAAGAAAGAAAGAAGTGTTTTTGGAGTGTGTTGTAAATTTTGAGAACAAATGATTGGATTTTATAGGGGTATTAGTCTAGGAGTTTGGTGAAATACTCGAACCCCAATTAAACACCTCACTCACTGGAAACATTAAAAAAAATTAAAAATATCACAATACCCTAGTCCGATTCCCCAATTCCGACTAGGTGTTTTAAATTGTTGGCACCACTGCAGTCGGATGTGGCAATTCCGATAGGGGCGACAGGGGGAGGGCGTGTACAATAAAACCCTAATCTCTAGTCGGAACAATGGATTCCGACTCTCGTATTTTGGTAACCTAAATCACTTTCCCGTATTTTGGCATGTCAGACGGCATACTCCCGTAATCTGGTAATTTCCTCGAATGGCTAAATGTAGGGAAATAGCAATTCGAACTATATGCACCCCTGAATCAACTAGAAGTAGCGAAAGGTAAAATTGACCAACAAAGACAAATTAGGCTTAAAACGGCCCCTCCACATGACACACAATCTAACATCCATATTTAATTTTCAGCTAGAAGTAGTTTTATCCCATTTGGATTAGCAAGTACTTGAATAGTTGAATATTGGATTCGTGAAAGTGATAGGGACCAATCGTTCTTGAAAGAGGTCAGAGTGCATGGCAGCCACAAGGAGAGCTTAAAATAGGATAATAGAAACCAGAGAAACAATCTAACAAGAGAAACTCTCAGTTTT